AGTAGTAGTAGTAATAGTAATAGTGCATATCCAGAAACTCCCATATGTAGTGCAGCTTGATCTGATGTAGTAGAATGCGACACAGTGCAGTGGAGTGCTCCAGCTTGAGCTCTCAACCCGCATGGACCGTCCAGGGTCAAAGCGTTACGTCAAGGCGTTACGTTTTGGTAGTGTCTACAATTGTCTACATACCTACAGCATAAAAATATATAGTAGAATATAATCCTAGCTCCATGAATGGCCTTACATGGCCTCTGTCACATGATACTTCAGGGGGTGCTGGCAGGAGCCTCAGCCTTCAAGAAGTCACCCGAACCTAACCCTGAGGCTCCCTAGTACCCAAACCCAGTAGCAATAATTGAAAAACATCTCTTTGATCCACTTCTGGGCTGCGTCCGGATAGTGCGAATGATCCACCTAGAGGGGTTACACTGGTTGCACCCCGCCTCGACTTCGGATCCCTCCTTTCTACAGGATCCGACGTCGCAAAAACTCCTTTTCACAAAAGACGCCTTCAGCCGTAGATCCCTATACAGTCTCGGCATGGCGTATACTTCTTTGTAGCAGAGCCCCGAAGGTGAGGGCATTGAGGCATGTGATACCTCTGGCCACGTGAAGTGGCCACAGCTATCTCCTCTGGAGATCTCTGACCACGTGAGGCCTCAAGCCTCTGGACTAAGACACGGTTTTCGCCTCTCACCTCTCGAAGGGCTGCGCTGCACTGCTCAACTTCACGGCACTTCTCTCCCAGCACCTGCTCCAAGTGCTTGCAGCGCTCAATGTACTCGTCCATGAAGAGCCTCTCCTCCTTTGTAGGTCCCACTCTGAATGGGATGCTGGCTTGTGTTGCGGCTGCGGCCTTGCTCTCGTTGAAGTCCACTTGCACTTCCTTGTCGCAACTTCCTCTCCTAAGGAAAACTTCCGCAAAACACCACTTAAGGGCCTTGTAGAGGAGGAGGGGAAACCAGCCAACCAAAACCCAGACCAACAGTCCCACTGCTGCTGTTGCCACAAGCTGTGCCACGATCTCGCTTCCGTCCACTGTGAAGGGCCCAGCCATGCCAGACCCAAGCCCAGAAACTGGCCCTCCACATTAACAACTTGGGTCATCAACACCAGGAGCGGGATCAGGGTCTTGATCCTTGCCACATTCACACCGCTTGTGCCCATCTCCTTGAGGGCCTTTGCGATGTTCCGCTTTTGCACCGCTGCTTCCCGCTCTTCTTCGCCATATGGTTCGAGCTGCGGGGTGACTGCTCCCATGAGGAACAAGAGTTCCTTGATTCGCGCACCCCCTAGGGGTTTTGTTCCCAGGTCCGATGGGTTGTCGCTCCCGGGGACGATTCCAACTTCCAGCTCCTTGGCCTGAGCTGCACTTTGAACCCAAAGAAGTCCAGCGTGAAGATGCCGAATCCTCCCGCAACCTAAGCGGTTGCAAACGCCTCTGCAAGCCGCGCTGTCTGAGCGGCTTCTCACTCTCACTCGGGTCATTGGGCTCACAAGGAATCGCAGGCAATCCCCGATGTACATTGCCTCGGAGGTTCCGGAGACGAGTGCAACGAATTCTGCCTCTCCACTGCTTAGGCTTATGGACCGTTGAGTCCGTACCATCGTCCCCACCAAAGTTCCGGACACATACAATTGTATGGACGAAGGGCTTCGTCTCTCTTTTCTACATCCAGCCCAGTCCGAGTCACTTATGCTCTCGACGATCAGGGTCCCGGCTTCACGAAGGGAACCTTTTCCACCATAGCCATAGCATGCCTCGTCCTTGGCGCCGCGGATCATGAAGCCGAATTCTGGCGTGCTGGCCAAGTACCCAACAACGCGTTGCAACATTTTCCAGGCCATTGTACTTGGACTCTGCATGCGGCCGCTGAGGACGCAAGTTGCGAACTGGATGTCCGGTCTCGTGTGGGACAAGTAAAGGAGGCGGCCGACACACTCTCTGTAAAGCTTTGCCTGGGAAGGGCCAAGCTCACCACTGTTGTCGACCTCCACAAAGCTCGCATCTGCCGGCGGGTCTTTCCTCC